TTCACAGAGAACACAGCTGATTTAAATTTTAATAATTTTAATAATCGTTGCAGGGCGAGACGGACGGAGACACTGATCCTGGCGTTCTGCTGAGCGCTCAGACCATCACATCAGAAACCACCAGCACCACCACCACCACACACATCACCAAGGTACTGACCGCTGCTGCATTACTGACCATCAGAACCATCAGTGTCTGACAGACGAGTGTCATAACGGATGTGTGTGTGTGTGTGTGTGTGTGTGTGTGTGTTTGACAGACGGTGAAGGGCGGCATCTCAGAAACACGGATTGAGAAGAGAATCGTGATCTCAGGAGATGCAGACATCGATCATGACGAGGTGAGACCTTCACTGAATCTTTAATACGGTTCCTTCAGGGTCATTCTATCAAATGCCACCTCTTCTAGAGTTTTAAAGAAATTCAAGTATAATTATTTCTTTAGATCATTTTAATGTGAAATTACAGGCCTTGTGCTTAAGAATGTGAACTTATATGTTAAATTTCATGCTGATATTTCTACAAAAACATCATGGTAATAATCTTGACATTTAAAGATCATCCTCTAAACAAACAACATAAAACATAAGAGGAATATTACAAAATAAGACTTTAACTTGTGCTTTAAGAGATTACTTCCTGAAAAAAAGTTGCTGGATTTTAGTTCAGAAAGATTAATGTATTGTCATAACATAGTAAAGTTGATCATCTGATGGTTTGTTTGCAGATGGTGACTGTGGTTTTGTAGAATGATCCTGTATGAACTCTAATGACTAGATTCAGCAGTTTGCATCAGTGTTTATCATGAACGTGACAGGAGTAGTTGTGGGCGTGGCCTGTGATGATGTGAGTGTTGAGGGGCGTGGCTGTGATGTTGGTGTGGGTGTTGAGGGGCGTGGCCTGTGATGATGTGAGTGTTGAGGGGCGTGGCTGTGATGTTGGTGTTGAGGGGCGTGGCCTGTGATGATGTGAGTGTTGAGGGGCATGGCTGTGATGTTGGTGTGAGTGTTGAGGGGCGTGGCTGTGATGGTGTGGGTGTTGAGGGGCGTGGCTGTATTGGTGTGGGTGTTGAGGGGCGTGGCTGTGTTGGTGTGGGTGTTGAGGGGCGTGACTGTGATGTTGGTGTGGGTGTTGAGGGGCGTGGCTGTGATGTTGGTGTGGGTGTTGAGGGGCGTGGCTGTGATGTTGGTGTGGGTGTTGAGGGGCGTGGCTGTGATAATAATAATAATAATAAATAATAATATGTTTTATTTATATAGTGCCTTTCAAGGACCCAAGGGCGCTTTACATAAAGTTGATAGATAACATGAACAACAGATATACAGTCACATAATCAAGCAAATAGAGGAGACAGAGATCATATAATCCAAGAAAAGTAACGAAAGCAAGCATAGAACTGAAAATTGAGACAGTCTGCTACAATCAATTAACAAAACATATTGTGTAAATAAGTGAGTTTTGAGAACAGTTTTAAAGGTCTGGAGTGAAGAGACAGCACAGAGGTTTTGTGCAAGTTTGTTCCAGAGTTTAGGAGCTGAGATGGTGAAAGCCCTGCCACCCACACCAGTCGGAATTTAGGTACTGCAAGCTAATTCTCAGAGCACAAGCAGGGACATATGGGTGAATTAATTCAGATTAATTATTCAGATTAATTGCTGTGATGTTGGTGTGGGTGTTGAGGGGTGTGGCTGTGATGTTGATGTGGGTGTGGCCTATGATGATGATGTGGTGTCACTATGGGTCAGGCTCTGGCTCAGGCCATTAAAGAGGCTAAAGAACAACATCCCGACATGTCAGTGACCAAAGTGGTGGTGCATAAAGAGACGGAGATCACGCCGGAGGAGTGATACAGGTAAGACCACAGCCAATCACAGGTTGAGTAGGCTTGACTGACTGCGAGCTGATTGGCTGCTGTGCTGCGCTTTGGAGCGCTGCTATTGGCTGCTGTTCTAACACCGGTGCTGCTTTGGCTGTTTACATCTGCGGACGTCTGACTGCTGCTTTCAGAATGTGAACTAACTACTCACACCTCTAACAGAATGACATGATGATCGTCTGTGTGAGATCAGGAGCAGATGTGGTTGAACACACTGCATTCTGCTGGTAGAGAGCGGTACTGCAGATCATCTCCATGAGTCATGTGACCACATGAGGACGTTCACGGAGATTAATAGTGTTGACTAGCTGTTTACTAATCTGGGCAACCACTCAGAATTAAATAGCATCCATAGTTCAGACATCATAGCAACCACATAGCAACTACCTAGAACACCCTAGCAACCACATAGCAAGCACCCAGAACACCCTAGTAACTAACCAGAACACCACAGCAACTGCCCAGATCACCCTAGCAACCACCCAGAGCGCCATAACAACCCTAGAAACCACATAGCAACCACCAAAATCAATCTAGAAACCACCCAGAACACCATAGCAACCCTAACGACCACATAGTAACCACCCAGAACACCCTAGTAACGCCCAGAACACCATAGCAATTCTAGCAACCACGTAGCAACTGCCCAGAACACCGTAACTATCACCCAGGACACCATAGCAACCCTAGCAACCACCCAGAACACCAAAACAGCCCTAGCAACCACATAGTAAGCACCCATAATACCCGAGCAACCAACCAGAACGCCATAGCAACCCTAGCTACCACAAAGAAACCCCCAAGAACACCATAGCAATGCTAGCAATCACGTAGCAACCACCCAAAACACCTTAGCAACAACCCAGAACAACATAACAACCCTAGCAACCGTCCAGAACACCCTAGCAACCACATAGTAACCACCCAGAACACCATAGCAACTGCCAAGAACACTATAACATTCACATAGCAACCGCCCTGAACACCATAGCAACCACATAGCAATGCCCTGGTAACCAGCCGGAACACGCTATCATTGTTGCAGTGAGTTTTGCACGGGAAACACCACTGACATTTTCCTGAGGAAAAAGTATATCTTTAGTTTTAGTGACATAATGTTGAAATGGAGGCATGTTACTGAGGGCCTGTATTTTTATGTTATGTTGTCATCGTAGCGTAATATTGAAATGCATGACGTGTTTGACATCATCACTGACTGAGCCGACGTCATGCTTTGCTCCTCTGAAGGTTCTCTCTGTTCCTTCACTGAGTCTGCAGAAAGCACAAAGTGTTCCTGATATTGACTGAATGTTCTGTTTTATTCATTTGCAGGATTAACATCATCTTCACGCGTTCTGGAGGAACTCATGTGTTCACGCTGTGGAAAATGAAGTTTGCTTCAGAGAAATCAACCACGGGAACAGCAGCATAAACGAAAGAATCGCAGCAAACTTCATCAGAACACGTCTGGAGTAACACGCACACACATGCACACACTCACACGCTTACAGGCGCTGTCTGCCGCACTGGATCACTGTTACCGCATGACAAGGGAACAATTCTGCTTTTTTGTGAGGAGACTACAGTATATAGACATTTTAGTAAATACTATATGAGTGCAGTGTATAGTCATAAAGGGACTGAAGAATGTGTGAGAAGAAATATAGCAGTTACAGATATCTACATTTATTTATCCTACTGAATAAAAAATAAAATCTGAATTAAAAAATCCTTGCAAAGATGTGCCATCCACACGTGTCACCCTCATCTCTGATCTGATTACACGTTCATTATGAGAATATGAATATGCCACACATGTATGTTAGAGACGTGTTATGTTGTTTTTACTTGTTATACACCTGTTTTTGTTTCTTTTTGAAAGCTGTCGCTTGTGAACGTTGAGTTTAGAGGAATGAATCTCTCCGAGAGCTGTTGTAGTGATGACCTGAAATATCAATCCCAGAGTTCTCCCTGCCCTGAGTGCCACATCCGAGCCTTAAACTACAGACGAAGCCCATGTGTGTTTATGTCCTTGTTTGTTTTCCAATGCAGCGTCGCCGCCCTGCTGTCTGTGTCCCCCGCAAGCAACTCCAATAAAATCTCAATTCCATTTCTGGCCATTTTGCAGTTTCCGTTCCTCCCTTTGCATTGAGACATGAGTGAAGAGAATATGCATCATTACAGTATTTCTGACATAAGAATTCAATAAACAGATTCAAAGAACAAATCAATTTTTGTGTTATACATGATTATTATATAGTTGTGTATTTCACCGAACCATTTCAGATATCTAAAGATTGAAGTTATTCCAATTAGTACCACATAAAATGTCATCAGATAGAATGGGACTGTTTGCGTAACCCGGAACTCATTTGGTGATGATTCAAAATGTACTATGGTATTGCCAGTGTTTTGGGGAAATTATACCGTGGTAATATCACGTTTTTGGACATGCGCCATGGTAGTCTTTTAGGATTTTACCATGATGCGGGAATATGGCAATCACTCAGGAGTACCATGGTAAAAAAATAAATACAATTATTTTCATTCCCCATCACAGTAAAGAGACAGTCCACCCAGAAATTACAAATCTGTAATGATTTACACACCACCATGTCATTCCAAACCTGTATGATTTTTTTGAAAAATATTTAAAAATAAATGTTTCAGGTGACTTGCATCGTAGACTAAAAATACTACGGTAGTCAATGCAACCCAAAAGCGTCTGGTTACATTGCATGCATCTTATTGTGTGTTCTAATGAAGAATGAAAGAAAGACAAACGTGTTTTACATGACATGAGGGTGAGTAAATAATGACAGAATTTATTATTATTATTAGTGCACTGTCCCTTTAAGGGCAAATAGCCAATACAATTTCTTGCTTAATTCCATACATTTATTCACCTGCTTGTTTTGCGTTGCAAGCTAAACTAAGAATTATGACGTTTTCTGTTCAGTAGGTTAAAAGATTAACATTTAAAATCCTATAAATGACTATTTTTATCTAAAGAGCCTGATTCTGTAGTGAGTGAGCGTGCGTCATTTGCGTAGCCGTGCCCGTGTCTGCGTACTCGTCCTCGTCCTCGGCCTCGCACGCAACAACAAAGTATTAAATTCTGCACTGGCCTTCGTAACATTCAAACACACTCTCCCAGTGGATCACAATAGCACAATAAAGGTAAGAAATATATTTTATTAAATAAATAATTAAATAAATTATTGCATAATGTTTTGCGCGGGATGGCTGCGCGCGCCCGGCGCGGTAGAGTTCGTCCTGGCCCGCGCAGCTCGCGCCACTAATCCGCCTCAGCGCGCCCGTTACCCGTTACCGAGCGTTCCGCCGCTCTCCTACATTCTCCGGTGCTCCCCGGTGCTCCCCGGTGCTCCCCGGTCTCGTGTAGTGGCAGCTTCGCTCGGTTGATGTCGATTAAAGCCGTCCGCTGTGCTCTATGTGCTAATGCTAAGATTAGCTTCCGAAGCAGGCTAGCGCGGAGCAGCAGAGACCGAAGCAGCCTTTAATTCGGATAAAAGCGCAGCTCGTGTTTAGATGAAGTAGTTCCGGCGTCTGTGGCCCGTTCGGTCCTCTCAGAGCAAACATCATGTGTCCGGCAAGGTAACGGATCGTGTTTAATGCATATATTGTCTTCAAATGTGATTATTTATTATTGTAGCGATGCGTGTTCAGACCTCGTTCAGTTGTGTTAGTCAAATACACAAACATTTTAAGCCTTTATCGGCCGATAACGTTCTGATGATATCGTGCATGCCTAGTTGTCGTGTAAAGTAGTGGTCGATCAGTCCGCCACTATGTTCCAGAGTTTTGTGGTATTCTCATTTGATTCCATCGCTAATGCTTAATGCGTTGACCAATATTCAATATGGCCGCAGCCATGGCCGCCGAGGCCGAGCAGCAGCTGGAGTCCATCGCCTGCTCATAATTACGGTTCGTCTTCATTCTCTGAACTGTTCCAATCGCAGATCTTAGTGATCGAAGGCTGTCTTTATATATGCTATAGTGAATTTCAAGTTTCGTCTTCCGCCACATCCGCTCAGCTTTTCTGCATTGTCTTTTCATACTCTGAACTGCTGTTGATTTTCTCCAAGCTGATTTCTGTCTGCCAGTCTTCCTGCTGACTTTCAAAGCAGCAATAACATTCTTCACTTTTGAGTTAAAGGAATCAAGGAGAAGATCAACCGAGTCTGCAGAGATGCTTGGTGTTAAAGATATAGCCTCCATAAATAGCACACTAGTGTTTTCGTTAAGGCATCTCTTTCTGACAGAGACAGATCTAGATTTAACTCAGATCTGTGTGTGTCAGAGAGAAGTCCAAACACTCCTCTAAAGACGGAGCTGAACGACAAACACAAACCCTCCTCAAAGGTAAAACCATCAGGAGATCATTAATGAAGGAGTGAGTCTAATGAGTCTGTCATTAACAGGTGAAGCAGTCAATCTGGAGTCAGCAGGTGCGTGTCCTACAGTAAAACCTCTTCAGAGCACGTCTCACTAACATTCCCATCACAGTTATGAAAACGTTATTCAAGAATGTTCTCCGAACGCCTTGCGCTGAAGCAGGAGACGGATGAACCCCGGGTCACGGCACCTGTCAAGATAAAGAAGAAGAGAGTCAAAGATGAAAAGAGCCGAGAGAAACGCGACGATAAGAATCAGCCGTCTGGGAAGCAAAGGGACAAGACGAGTTCTGAACATGACAAAGCAGAGAAGAACAAGACCAAGAAAGACGGAGAGGAGGAGACGAAGAAAAGGTGAAGGAGGAGGACAAGAAAGACGAGGAGTCTGATAAGTGGAAGTGGTATGTGTGCGCTGTTTTCCTTCAGGTAGTCTTTAATGGTCCATTTGTTCATTTAACCTTAACTGTGTCAATCAGTTAAGTTCAGCTCATAAAATCAATGTGGAACTAGATTTAAATAATGAACTTGGTTTTGAAAATCAATGGAGGAAAAATCAAATATGAATATTAGGGATTAAATAGGCTTAATTAATCAGAACTAATGATGCCACAAATATGGAATCTTGCTTCCATCACAGAATAAAAATTTAAAAAGGTAACTGATTTTTTTCCTCAGAACTGCATGGAAAAAGATCAAACGTGGCCGTTTACTTTAATTTTGTTTATTAGGGGTTCAAGCGCGGGGCGTGATTGTTAGAATGGCCAAGGATCAGCAATGATCGGGTAGAGCAAACCGTAAGTCGTAGAGACTTGAAACTTGGAGAGATGGTAGTACTCACGCCGTCTACAATGTCACCAAAACTCGCCCCAATCGGCCTGACGGGGCGCTACAGCCATCACAAGTGCGAAATCGCTCATAACTCCTAAGCTTGGTGATTTTCGGTTATTTTGGATTTTTTGAAAAACCTACTTTTGCGAACTAGTCCAAGTTTTTTTCTGCCCGATTGGAACCAAACCAGTGCAGACAAATTCTCTGGAGACTAAATATCAATAATCGTCAAAAAAAAATGTTAACTTTCGTCTCACGGTCGCAAACGGACACCAAAACGTTCAAAAGTGGCAGGGACGCTTTTACTAGAACGGCTAAAACTCTTGAACGGAATGCGATATCTTGTAGGAGCTCAATCTGAGGTCACATGATAAAAATCACGGAGCTTGGCCACTTGGTGGCGCTATAAGAGGGGAAAAACTATAAAAATGGCTATAACTACGCAACCATTTGTCAGATCAATGTGAAAATTGGTATGCAGTGTCTTTGTCCAAAGTGCCACAGGTGTCTATAAGTACATTTGCGTATCTCAAAAAACATGGCCGCATTGGCCAATGAAGTTTGAGCACTCATTAGACGAGGTTAACGCAGGTCGATCGGAATGAATGGGCCTGTTTGACTCGTGGCCCTAAAGGTCTGTGAGAAATTCGAAAGAAATCGGCCACTGGGGAGCGATATCGCATTTTTCAAGGGTGTAAACAATGGTATATTATGTGGTTTTTCACACGTATAACAGTCAAAAAGGCTTCAAAAACACTTGTTTCTATGGTAAATGACCTCAAATTGCAGAAAATTTTCACATTCACACATACACTAGATCTTCACACCGTACGATCGATCTGCTCATTCTGAACAACTTTGCCTTTAGGACCACTGCTGTCAATCAAATTGTTCTTTAAATATTTGACATTATTTTAAAAAACCTACTTTTGCAAACTCCGGCCGTAGGTGGCGCTCTAACAGTCATAAACATTAAAAATCCTCATATTTCTATGGTCAATTACCTGGATTTGCCAAAAATTAATTGATTTATGTGGTTACAGGCTTGCTAACTAATAATCTGCTTACACTTGTGTTGGACTAATGCAATTCTTTTGTTATACTTTCTTTAAATTGCAGTTCAGTTCCGTGTGAATTAGTGTTTCACACAGTTTGTAAATTCTAAATTTTGCACTATATATGGTTGCATGTGGCTTTTTATTACACTTTTATTTTAAAGTAAATAAAGCAATATTATTTAGCATTCTGTAAAATGTTGGAGGGACTGTGGCTATTAAATTCAGTTTTTATTTTCACGTTCATTTGAACCTTGACCTCTGACCCCAAGCATCTGAGATTGTGTCAGAAATGAATGCTTTGCATCAGATAGATATTCACATTTCATTCAGTGTGGGGTTTTCTGTAAACATCCTCTGTAACCACCAGAGGGCAGCACCCAAAACCTTCGAGAAGTCAATGCAGCTGCTCATCTTCATCTTCATCTTCATCATGAACAGCTCAGTATGACAGGCGCTTCTGAGACTCAAAGCACTTTATACAACACTGAGCGTTCAAAGCATCAGGAACATAACAGCTAATGTTGAGAAACTCGTTTGCTTTCAGTTCTACAGAAGACTGTAGTGTCTCCTGGGTTATTATCTTAAACTAAAACCATAAAGCACTTCTTGAACATCTCATCAAAACATTACTTGAGTGACTAAATTATTAATGACTAAAAATTAAAAAATAACACTGAATTGTTCTTCTCAATTTAGTTTAATGAATTCAATTCAGTGTCACTGTTGTAAAATTCATCAATTATGAAATGAATACAGTTTCAGCTGTAAAGCAGAGTCTTTGTTCGGTTCTCATCTGATAGCGTCCGTGCGTTAAATAATATTACTGAATATGAATTCTTTTAAAGCTCAGTAGAGCTGCTTTACGTCTGGAGTGGAGTTGGTCTCATGATTGATGAAGAAGACTGGTTCTCGGATCGCTCTGAAGCTGTGTTGAGTCGGTCTGTGCTGAGCACGGCGCTGTATGGATGAGTGTCGAGTTCAATCAGACGCTGCTGACCAGATTCTGAGGTCAAACCTTATTGGATTCCAGGTGGGTTTGTGACTGCAGGGTAGTGCAGCGGTTTGAGCGGCGAGGTCGAGCTTTAAAGGACGAGGCGGTCAGAAATAATCAGAAACAGCAGAGTGATGGCCAGTCGTTTAGACTCCAGCATCGGCGGGTCGCAGGTCACACGCCGCTTAATGCACCTACACACACACACACACACACTCTCACACACACACACACACACTCTCTCTCTCACACACACACACACACACTCTCTCTCTCTCACTCACACACACACACACACTCACACACACTCTCTCTCTCACACACACACACACACACTCTCTCTCTCTCACTCACACACACACACACACTCACACACACTCTCTCTCTCACACACACACACACACACTCTCTCTCTCTCACTCACACACACACACACACTCACACACACTCTCTCTCTCACACACACACACACACACTCTCTCTCTCTCACTCACACACACACACACACTCACACACACTCTCTCTCTCACACACACACACACACACTCTCTCTCTCTCACTCACACACACACACACACTCACACACACTCTCTCTCTCACACACACACACACTCTCTCTCTCACTCACACACACACTCACACAGAGACAAACAGACACACACACACTCACACACACACACACTCTCACTCTCACTCACACACACACACACACCCCCTCACACACACACACAGACACGCACACACACACACACACACACACTCTCACACACACACACACACAGACACACTCTCACACACACACACACAGACACACTCTCACACACACACACAC